GAAAAAAGACATAGGACATTGAATTGTGCTTTACAGCTAAGATCATATTGTAACAAAGTCTATATATTTTACATGAGACATCTCTATCAATCTCAAGAATTGGCAATTGGGAAATAGACTGTAACCAAACACCGGGCTCAACTGAATGCAGGCTTGAAGAGAGATGCAACTGCGAACACAAAGCTGCTTAGGTCGAAATATATCCCCTCCCAAAAAATCATGCCCAAGCACCTACCAATGCCATCAGCATTGCCCCACTTGCCACTGCGATGCAAGCTTCAACCCTGCGTTTCCCCCTTAGAGTCTCGTAGCTCGAGTCACTAAGGAAGTCCTCCGCTAATAGTTCGACGAGGCCCGCGAAAATGAGGAGTCCACTGCTGACGGCATTAGTGAAACCAACCATCAGGAGGCCCATGGTGCTGGCGGGATCATAGAGATTATGCAGCACAAGTCCAATTGCTTGCCCAATTGGTGTTGTAGTACCGTACGCACAAGCCATGAGCCACGGCTTTGGTGATGATGGGGAGAAGAGATCAGGAATGAGAGACGCAATACGCGATCCCAGAGCAAATCCTTCAAATGTTTGATGGAAAGAAATGGCAATAAGAAGGACTATGAAGGATGTCCCCGTCGCAACACTGAGAGCCATGCCAATGAAAATGCTGTGGAAGAGAATACCAGCTTCTAGGAGAAGACATTGGAGTAATTGCCTCTGAGGATTCTGCAGCACGGTCCCATCGTCGACTTGACGTTGCTGGCGGTGCATAGAAAGATGGCGATGACCTTGAGTGAGAGAAACTTGCCGCCTTTTTTGGTGGCCCTGAGGATAGGATTCTTCATCCGTATATGGATCCAGTTCCTCCAGATCCAGGTCATCATCGTCACCGTTGCCATGGTTGGAGCCCTCCGCGGATCTCGAACCAGCCCCATGAATAGGTTCTGCAGCTGAAGTATCCATACCGTCCAGATTAGTCTCCCGTGGATTATTGTTCTGCACCTCGTGATGCTGAGCTGTATCGTTGTCCTGGGCCACATCGCCATCCTGTGCGGTCAATCGCACATATTCAGCCATGTCATCTGTGTATCCATTCATGTTTCCACTTCCTATTTCTCCGATTAGATCGTCGTATTCTTTTCCATGCAAATGCTTCGCTCCTCTTGTGGCGAAGACCATTTCGACCGTAACAACAGCAAAAACGGAAATCATTGACACAAATCCCGCCATAGCAGGATAGCCTTTGTTCCAAAAACTCGGCAAACAAGGGTTGGTAAGAGAGTTGAATGCGGTTGGGAGCAAATGGACAAAAGCCGTTGCAATTAGCACTCCTGTCCCGAAGTGTCTTGAGATGAAAAGGAAATGGCGTGGGATGGGTAGTCGCGGGAATCGGCGTGCTAAGATTGGAAACGAGCATGCTGATTCGAGAAGACCATCATTAACTTATGTTTCTCAAGACGTTGAAGGGGCCGCAACGCGCACCTAGAGTGCTGAGCACGAGGATCAGGAATAATGCAACAACGTGGAGCGAGGTGTTATAATACCCTGTCTCCCTTGAACCGCAAGTCGACTCGTCTGGTAGATTTGCATCATCATTATCGGCCCGTCTCGCAATCTCTGACTTCAAAAGTGAGATAGGGATATCATGCAGTGACCGGATGGCGAGTTCAAAGTCTGTGAATGACCGCTATGATTAGAAGATGCCATTTCTGTGGCGGGGTAAGATTGAAGGCGTCAAGAATTTCTCGACTCGACTCAAAGCTGTAAATGGCCCACTTGCACTCCAAAAATACAGTTATGAAGCCATTTACATCTATAGTCTCAACAGAATTCGTGGTGCAGCAGCACTCTTACCGGATGTTGGCATGCTAATGTCACGCCGACTGACAATCGTATTCATTGTGTCTGCCTCTTGTAAACGGAAATTTCCTGCACATCCATGGCCCGGGCAGGACTCGTAGTTACTGTCCGCGTTTACTCAACTCTCTTGCGGGGCTGTATGAAAGACCCAAAGTGTCGTTCACACTTCTTGAAGACGGAACGTCGATACTAAGAAAAGGCTGAACAGGGAAGGAATATAGCACCCATGGAAGTATTAAAGTAACACGTGAAAGAAATGGGAATGATGACAGCTAGAAGGCGCCTGTTTGCATGGGCTGGAGAATCGTGGTGGTTTACGGTGATATTGCTAAGTTATTACATCTATTCGTATGTGTTGGGACTCGTGCTGATGCGGCTAACTTGGCACTAAAGCGGGTTATCTTATCAATCTGCCAACGTCGACCGCCTACGTAAGGAGGTATGTAATATCCATTGAAGCTGGCTACAGCTCGGAGTAGCGTCTGTTCATTCAGACCATGTATGTATGTATAAAACTCTTTGCTGGACCGCAGAGGTCTCGTCAAGAGTCTCTTGTAGAAGAAGTGCCGAAAGGCGAATGATCCCAGAAAGCTACAGTAGATTTCCACAAGCCTGGAATGGATTATTTTCCATGCAACAATGTAATCTATCAGACAACAGAAAATGCAACACTGTGCAGCATTTTACCCATGATCTATAGTGAAACCAAGAACAATGCAGCAGCTGAGGAGACTGCAACAAGAACAATCATTTTCATCATGAAACCTGTCCGTAATTGTCATCTACTTTTAAGCTTTGTCCAGCCGCTGGTGCCTTTTGGACGGTCAGGACTCGGCCGGTCCGACGGTAATTTAGAACTCTCCACGACGTCGGAGTTGCATTCAGGCTTTGTGGTGTTGGCAGCCGCCTCCTCATCTTCAACTTCAGGCCTTAGTCCAGAAAAAAGGGACGAATCCTTTGCATTCAAAGTAGCCTGGTCTCGACCCTCCTCATCCCATTCTTTTTCTTCTAGGAGCTCCCATTCTGCATTTGCCATCTCTCCCAACAACGCAGATTTGAGTTTGTCCGCAACTTTCGTCGGTGTTGGAAGTTTCCATGTCCGCATGAACTCTGTGCCTTCCGCGGCTCCCAGGAACGAGTGAGACGTACCGTGAGAGTAATGACCAAGCATGGGAAAGGATTTAGTTCGCTGTATTATAGTCTTTGGAGAATCTCTGCCACTTTTGAGTTTCGACTGGAGGTCGCGGCCAGAAACGGCCCTCATGACCGTCACATTCTGAGCTGGGGGTGCAACAAGCAGCTGCCACATGTTCTTCCCAATATTACATATCTCTTCCCACGAGTCAGACCCGACGTTCAACCCCTGGGTGCGGCACAGCCAAGAGACATTCCACGCTAGCAGAGAGGCCCCCTCCAAGAACAGTGCATAGGTTGCGGGATCTTCCTTGGCAAGTCTCGGAAGCGTTTTATCGATGGAGAGTGGCCGAGGACGGGGGGATCGACGTGTATCAGCTCTTGATGCTGTTGGACTACTTGACAAGGAATGAGACGGAGATTTCCCGGAATATGGCACATCGCGTGACGAGTATGAAGCTCCGGGGGTGAATATAGTAGGCGTAGGATAGTTCCGGTGTGGGAGAGTGATTTCGGCGGGAAGTCTGAGGGAAAGGTAATGAGACACGAGAATCAGTAGATGAGCAATATTCGAAAAGGCCGTGGAAATCTGAGAAGGCGGAGCACCTGTCTTGAAGTTAGCATCCCATGGATCGAATCTGTGACAGGACCACGTGCCATTCATTTCCCGAAGATCGACTATGGGCACTCCTCCGATGACATAGCTTTCTATGATCTCATTGTTCCTCTTCCTCAGCTTTTGACGAAGCCCGTAAATGCTTGCAGCTTCTCGACAAAGAAAAATGCGGGATTCAGCGGTCTTGTTATGTAACGAGTGCCACAGGTGTTCCGTTCTTTTGATGCTATTCTGAATACTGGATAGCGCCGCGTCACGGCGTTCTGCCAGTTGGTAGGTTGCCGACTCTGCATCGGAGCGTCGCTGCTTCAGAATAGAAGCGCGCTGGTTGATCTCACCCCTTTTCTCTTTGATTTCGTTCCTCAACACCTCTGCCTGGGCGAGGATCGCCTTTGTCCGCTCTGATGACCGGGCTTGTTCGGTTTGGGCGGCTTGAATGGTCCATCGCGGGTTCTGTTTCGATTCTCCACCATCGTGTGTCCGGGCAGCCTCCTTGGCCTCGCTTTGTGGGGTGTTGCCGGTCACTGCGGCTTCGATCTCACGCCCAACTGCATCCTTCTCTAGTAAAACTCGGGCGTTCTCATATCGCAACAGATACAGCTGGCTGCGAGCACAGGTGGGACAGTAGAAGGGCAGGCGTGAGCTGTTCGTGCGAGAACATACGTGGCAGCTCATTTCAAGAACTATGGTCGCTGTCCGCTGCTAACGAAGAATAGAGAGGTAGCAGGAGTGCGGTTCCATGATCCCCAGGTGGATATCCGGAAACAGATGGAGCTGTCGAGCAGGACCTTTCGATGGCGGACGACAGATGGCACAGCGCTGGAAAGCCTTCATGACTTAAAACGCAAACGCATGGGAACTCAGGTCATAACTTAAGCCCTGTCAGATTTCTGCGAGTGCAGGTCTTGTCTGTGCCTGTGGCAGGAGGAAGGCGAGATAACATCGGCCTCGACCTGGCCGCCGGGAGTCGGCGGTCACTGGCACATCACCCTCACCGTGAGTCCGTGACCAATGGCTGCTGACCGCCGACGGTCATCGATAACGTCACCTGATGGCGCCAGGGAGCACTCGATCTGATTAGCTGGTCGAGTCGCGGCAGGCCCACTTTCGCTGGTACTGACGTCCGGGCGGGTTTCATAGGCTCTTCGAGTACGAGAACGGTATTGTGTTTGTTTGATCAGGTTTCGTCGTGTTGTTGTGATGCTCAGGACAGCGCCAGATCGGCCCGTAGGCCGTGTAAAGCTTGTTATCCCCTTTCAACTGCACTGCTCTACTAGACTGGGCAGTCATGACCGCAATTGTCTATTAATGCAATAATGATTGCCTTCTCGAAAAATTGAGGCCGCTTTATTATTTTTCTCTTCTTCTCTTTTTCCTCTTCTCCTCCCTCTCTTCTTATTGTTTTTTATTTTTATTTTTTTTTGAAAGGAAATTTCACAGGGCAAACTAAAGCTACCGCAAGCCGAAGATGGAGAAAACATCCCGGGAGGTTCGCGAAGAAGTCCAGGACAGGGAACATGTCGCTCCCGGTCTCAGCGCAGTAGATGGAACAGAGCAGGACAATTCCAGAGCAGAGTTCCAAAACGCCACACAGAATGTGGACAAAATGGTTAATTCGTTTCTCTCGGCTCAAGATCTTAGGAACTGTGATTGGGAGCAACTCCAAGAGATGTTTTCTGCGGCTATGGAGGAACATGCCCGAGTTGAACGAGATTTACAAGAGCAAACAAAACAGCTGCTTAAGGTACTTCGTTTTCTATGCAGACTTGTTTTCACCGCAGTCGTGTAATGTTGACACTCTACGCTAGATCTTTGTAACATGGTCACAAGTTCCAGTCTCCCGTGATGAAGACAGGTCCTTTAAGAGGTATCGTTTCTCGGCGGAACTTTTGTTGTCTGGCGGCAGCTAACAATTTATAGATTCAAAACCCGCATGCAACATGTGCAGAACTCTGAACTGCAGCTTGAGGAGAAGAGAAGACACTGTACGACATTATGAATATTCCCTGCAAATAAGGCATGATGCTGACAAAAATATTACATAGATGTTAATGTTGTCAAAGCTTTCGAAAGTGCTCTGGCGTTGCTGAAGTAATCTGCAAGACATCAGAGGGGCCCTTGATTGGATGTGGGGTCAGGCCCGCCTCCCAACAGCAGCTTATCAAACGATATCGACGACCTCACCCGGGCTTCGATGTACTCCCACCTAAACAGCCTCGTCACGTCGTCGCAGGAGAAGATGATATATCCCGTCAAGTTGTGAATATGGATGATGAACCGACGGAAGCAGACAGAAAGCTTCTTGAAAGATTAAATGCACTTAAACCATCTAGCGTGCAGCTAGACCGTCGAAAGTGCGCACCGATTTCATGCTGAGCTCTCGAAAGGGCCCTGCTAATTCGTACCACGTTAGGAAGCCTGTTGACTTTGCTTCTCAGTACTCTACACCGTTAGGTGTCTCAGATCTAAATACGCAGTTTCGAAATTTTCGATTACATTCGGGTGTTGGTTGCGAACATGACACACCACCAGGATCCTTGTTCGAGAATGGAGATGCCATTGAGGATCTACTCTCAAGTCTAGACTACCGTGACAGTTTACCCGAGACATCAGGGATTGATGACGCTGCTTCATGGGGATTTCTAAGCGATGCAAGTAGAACCGTGAATTGTCCGGAAGCGGCCGAGGTTGGACTAGGTCGAGGATCTGCTGACAGTCAGTTCCTGCCTACACCAGATCAGGGTGACTTCAACTACGAAGCAGCGAGCAACGAAGAATCTGATGATGGGAAAGCGGCAAAGTATGTTGAGAATCTTCTCAAACAGATTGACATGGAGGACCGTCACAAATCCCCACTGTCGTCCACATCGCAGGAAACGAAGGCTTCTCTCAAACGCAACTTCTCTTTTAGCAAAACATCCAGGTCAACCCCTGAAGCGGACTCACTCGGGTCCCCTCATGATGACAACCCGGGACGAACCTCGGCGTCGTCCACGCGTCAATGCCAGCGAAGTGATGATGGTGATGATGATCTATCTACTCGTTTCGTTGCTCTCGATCTCCCATCTGTTCCTGCAGAGCTTCCTGGGACGAAGAAGACACTGCGGACCACTGGAGATGACAAAGCACCTGATTGTTGTTGTATATGCTATGATAATGCCACTACTAAGTGCCTGGACTGTGATGGTGCCCAGCTGTTCTGTGTTCGCTGCTGGTGGGAGATGCACATGGACGAAAGCACCGACAACCCCGAGCGACAGCATAGGGCTATCAAATATGAGGCAAGTGTCTAAGTCATCTACTGTATCAGCTGAGGGGGTTGCATGTTAGTCAGAGATTATATATTAGCAAAGGGATGTCCTTCAGTGACGGAGGCAAATATTAGTAAGGATTATGTCAATATGGCAAAAAAAAACCATTTAAGCGAAGCGAGACCTGTAAGACCTGTAGTGTACAAGATAAGAAAATTATGTTAGCGCCAGCCATGGAGATATTAGCCAAAGAAGTATTTTTTACTCTGACGATTGGGATCCCTCAAAGATGAAATGAACCAACCCGCTCAGGGATAAAAGGTAGCCGGACTCATTTTGTTAGCACCAAAGACATGCATAGGTTTGTTATATTATGGCTTTCAATTTGCCTGTCCTGTTTCAACAAACTGAGTAGGCATGTGGATTACAACTCCCCGAGTCAATTTTATGAAGGGAAGAGTATGTCATATGCCCGACTATAAAACGATAGAAAAGAGCTTAGAGGGCATAGCGTAAAAACGATTGCGGAAAAGGGTCCATTCTAAAACAATACCAATGCTTCAAAGGCATCAATGAACATAATTGCTATCAATAGTCCTCCTGTTCCCTCGACCGGTGAAATCCCGCCAGTTGGCATTGAAGCGTCTCGCAGTACTGGCCAATAAGCCCTCCTCTTCAGCTTCCTCAGCGTCTTCGTCGATTTGGCGTTCATCAAGTTTGGGGGTGCGGAAAAGTGTCGTGAGGAAGACAATTAGGTATATGCCTAAAGTAAGGGAAAAAAGGAATCTGTTAGGAATCACTCCTTGAAATATTATGTCTGATACAAGATATGGTATCAAGCTTGACGGAAGAGAGGCCAAGGTACGAGTCTTACCAAGAAATACGAACTGTGCCCAGAAAAATACGATACCAAAGAATGGGAAATTCAAGGTAACACGGTTAAAAAACGTGCTGACAACGCTTGGAGTGCAGACCGCTTTCGCGGCCGGATTGTCCGCAAGCTCCGAACAGGGTTTGACAAGATCCGGGTAATTTTTGCAATCCGGCTGTTCTCCAGGATATCGCGGAGGTCTATCGCAGAATGTTTGTGGCCCAAAGGTTGCATACTGCGGAGCAACGATCATGGAGATGGAGTAATTGAGTGCCAATGTGATCAGGGTGAGCATCACAGTCGCCATGAGCAAAGCCTGTGGAGACGTATGACCCTTGCGGATTTGGAAGATCCTAATCCAGAGGAATCGAATACCAGCCGTTGCGATCCCCACAACAGAGCTACTGAAGAACAGCAGGACGAGCAGCGCAAAGAGTCCGTAGTCAAGTGGGAAAATCTTCGCAGCATTGACGAAGACCCAGTTGACAGGGTTGAAGACGTTGATATTACCAAGAATGTACCCGCAATGCTGCTTGCATACTGAATTTTTCGCCTTGTCAATCGTTGTGAGCAGCATGGAAACCCATATCAGGACTGCAGTCAAAAGAAGGACAATACCGCCGAGGAGCTTGAAGGGCCTGAATGCTGCCTCGACCTTGAACCATGATCGTATGATCCAACTCCGATGTTCTCCCTGTGCTTCCTCAATAAGACGCTGTCGCCGTATCAGCGTTCTTTCCTCTCTAACAAGGCTATCGAGTTCTCGGCGGTCTTTGGAGGATAGATCATCTGGATTCCCCCCGCAGCGGCCTTCCAATTGGCGTTGTCGCTCACGGTTTGCCTCAAGCTGCGAGGCTGTGCTGGCTCTCAACGTCGGACTTGAGATGGAAGGAGCAGTCTTGATAAGAGTAATTGGAAGTAAGGCAAGACCGGACGATGTGTACAGGACATACATACACATGCCAATGGCAATTAGGAGACCTAAAGCGAAAGCAAGGGCTCTTTCGCCATCTGCAAGGGAAGAATGTCAGCTTTTGCACATGGGAGCAGAGTCGACATCGCGCCAATCGTGCGGATCACCTACGGTTTGTTGTGAGCAACCTCTTGAAGAAATCCAGGTCCCGATCGCCAGTCTTTCCTGAGATCGGAACAAAAAAGCCCACAAGAAACAGGATAGCAGCTACCAGGATAAAAGCAATAGTGTATTTAAACGCCCCCCAGAAGCGTTTAGCAACAGTCTGTTCTCCTTCCTGGATTGCGACCTCGTCATACTCTTCATACCAGAAGTATGTAAAGGGCACCACTAGTAAGCAAAGCAAAGCATCCAAAGCATAGAGAAAATAATAGACAACTGTCAGAGAGAAAGTGATTTTGTCCACCTCGTCCTGGGAAGCCCAGTCTTTCCGTCGGCCCAGTTGGGACGAGGAAGTCGAGGACACGAGAGCAACATCAACTGGCTGTAGCAGTACCGTTGCGAGCAGAGCAGTGATGGTAAGGATGCAGACCAAAGTCACGGACGGTGAGCGATCCCTTGGAGTCTGATAGACATAGATAAAAATTGAAGCCACCCCAATCAAGACAGTAACCACAACGGCATATGCAATCCATATAAGGAATGGTTGTAAGAATGCCATGATCAACAGCTATGCATTGACTAGCAAGCACAATACGTCACATCCAACAGTTGGAGGGGAAGTCCAGCAGTCAAGAAAAAACCAGCCAAAGAAACAGGGAATTTGATATCATCAATCCATTCGTCTGAGACGATGACTACAGGGGAGCATTGATTAGCCTGATTCAGCAGCTGCCGTCATGGCTGCAAATTGAAGCTACTTGAACTTGAAGCTACCACAGCGTCGACGGAGAAGTTGGATCATGACAACAGGTTGTGGTTCCACGTGACCGAGCGGCGCGCGGAGCTACGCGCTAATGCTAAGCTCCGTCGAATCGCGATCGCCTCTTGGTTTATGCGTTTGCGATTCGCTGCAGCTAGATCCAGACTCAAGGTGAGCTGCACAAACTCGAAGCTCCTGCCAACAGGCAAACGGCCCTGCTAGACGCCCAGCCGTTGAGGCTCAGAGACAGGTCGCCATGGTGAGGACCGCCTAGTGGGGAAGCCTTGGTGCTGGGATTTCTTTCATTGATTCCCGAAGCTGGTTCTGTCTTATATACACCTCAGGATGCAATGTTATACTGAACTCTTGCCCCCTTCTGGGGTCACACACGCTCTCTCAGCCCCCTTTCTTTCTCCAACAGCCAACAATCTGGTGGTTGTCAAGACCTCTCTTCTTCAGATCTTTACTCTTGTCAATGTTGCCTCTGAGCTGGACGCTAGGGAGGCTGAGGACAAGGCCTCTCGAATAGAGACATCGCAAGATACAAAGCTGCACCTTATCGCCGAGTATGATCTGTCTGGGACGGTAACTGATATCTGTCGAGTCAAGATTTTGAATTCCAAAAGCGGAGGGGATGCTCTTCTCCTAGCTTTCCGGAACGCGAAGCTCAGCCTGATCGAGTGGGACCCTGACCGTCATGGTATTTCGACCATTTCGATTCACTACTACGAAAAAGAAGATGTGACTCGTAGTCCATGGGTACCTAATCTAAGTACTTGTGGCAGCCATCTCACGGTGGATCCCAGTAGCAGATGTGCGGTATTGAATTTTGGTTTGCGCAATCTTGCCATTTTACCATTCCATCAAGCCGGCGATGACCTGGTCATGGATGACTATGACCCGGATCTCGATGAAGAGCCTGCTGATCATGAGATGAAAGATGTTGTGCAATCTGAGAAGAAAGATGAGAGGAAAGACTCTTTGACCTATCAGACTCCGTATGCGGCCTCTTTTGTCTTGCCGATGACTGCCTTGGATCCTGCTCTGCTTCACCCGATCAGCCTCGCATTTTTGCATGAATACAGAGAGCCAACATTTGGTATCTTGTATTCCCAAGTGGCAACTTCGTCTGCATTGCTTTCTGAGCGAAAGGATGTTGTGTTCTATTCCGTATTCACGCTGGATCTCGAACAACGAGCATCTACCACTCTCCTGTCTGTTGCGAGACTCCCTAGCGACCTTTTCAAGATAGTAGCTCTCCCGCCGCCAGTGGGCGGTGCTTTGCTCGTTGGCTCTAATGAATTGATCCATGTTGACCAAGCTGGAAAGACAAATGCTGTCGGCGTCAACGAATTTGCGAGACAGGTTTCCTCCTTTTCGATGGCAGATCAGTCCGATCTTGCTCTCCGTCTAGAAGGATGTGTTGTCGAGCATCTGGGTAATGAAAACGGTGATGTGATCTTGTTACTGTCGAGCGGGGAGATGATGCTTGTCAGCTTCAAACTGGATGGACGGTCTGTTTCCGGTCTCTCAATTCACCCCATCGCAAATGGAGGGACGATTATGAATGCAGCTGCCTCATGCTCTGCCGTGCTGGGCTCGGGAAAACTTTTCTTTGGCAGTGAGGATGCAGATTCAATACTTGTCGAATGGTCCAATGTATCTTCCAGCACAAAGAGAGCCCGAGTGCAAGATGCAGATCAACAACCCGAATTTTCAGATGAAGATGGGGATGACAACGATGCCTATGAAGACGACTTGTACTCCGCTGCGCCGAAAGTGTCCTCAGACCACCGCCCTTCGGTCGACAATTCTATTGCGGGAGGCTACAATTTTCGGGTTCTTGACACGTTGACCAACATAGGACCCCTGAGAGATATAGCACTCGGAAAAGCATCGGCAAAGGCCGCTGATGGAGATCGTAATGTCTCCAGCGTTACCGCAGACTTGGAACTGGTGGCCTCTCAAGGATCAGATAAGAGCGGCGGCCTTGTTCTGCTGAAACGGGAGATCGACCCAAGCGTCATATCCTCTTTTGAGATAGACAATGCCGAGTCCGTTTGGTCAGTCAGCGTGAGCGAGGCGAAGTCCAAGACCTCGAATGATGGCGGCTCGTCGGTTCAGAAAGGAGCTGATTCTTATGTGATACTTGCTAAATCAACGTCCACTGATAAGGAAGAATCGGTAGTTCATGCCGTGAAGGGCAAAAGCCTTGAAGCTTTCAGGGCTCCAGAATTCAACCCAAACGAAGACTGTACAGTCGATGTGGGAACTTTAGCAGGAGGCACCCGAGTTGTTCAGGTACTTACAGGTGAAGTGAGGATCTACGATAGCAGTAAGTTATACCGATTAGCGTTTCCATGCAAGCATAGTATTGACTATTTATTTAGGTCTGGGACTTGCACAGATATACCCTGTATGGGATGAAGATACAAGTGACGAGCGAATCGCTGTTAGTGCCAGCTTTGCGGATCCTTATCTTCTCATTCTTAGAGATGACGCATCAGTATTGCTGCTCCAAGCCGACGAGAGTGGCGATTTAGACGAGGTGCCTCTGAATGATGAAATTTCTTCGAAGAGTTGGCTTTCCGGTTGTCTTTATGCAGACAATTCAGGCATGTTCTCTCCCATTGAGACAGACTCCCAAGGCAATATCCATCTGTTCTTGTTGAATGCTGAATGCAAGTTATTTGTGAGTGGAATTTCTCCTCCTGTCGCTCTATGATACAGCATACGACTATTCTTGGAGTGTACTGACACTTCTCTAGATATTCAGGCTTCCCAGCACAGACCTAGTTTCTGTGATCGAGGGAGTTGATTACGTCTTACCCATCCTGTCGGCCGAACCGCCCCCTAGAAGGTCTTCCACCCGTGAGACAATAACGGAGATTTTGGTGGCAGATATTGGGGAGTCGTATTGCAAATCTCCTTACCTGATAGTATGTATCTTCCTCATGCGGAGATATGGTTTTGCAGTTCTAACCTGAATATAGTTGCGGACGGGAACGGATGACCTTGTAATATACAGGCCTTTTCGCATCAATGATGACCTGGGAAAAGACCCTAGCAGTCTCAAGTTCTTAAAGGAAGTGAATCATACGCTTCCTAAAGTGCCGTCGGTGGCGTCTTCGAAAACATCCTCTGGAGGCCAACGGCGGACGAAATCACTCAGAAGGTTGCCTGATATTTCGGGGCTCAGTGCCGTATTTATGCCTGGCGCGTCTCCAAGTTTTGTCATTCGAACTTCAAAGAGTATGCCTCACCTAGTGAGCCTTCGTGGTGGGTTTGTTCGCGGCCTCAGCGATTTTAATGCTGCAGGCTGTGAGAAAGGGTTTATTTACGTGGACAGTCATGTAAGGCACCAGATGAATCCTGAGCCGCGATTATGTCCTGCTGAGTGATGAGGTATAGAACGTTGTCCGAACATGTCAATTGCCAGATGATACCCAATTCGACTTTCCTTGGACAGTGCGCAGGGTGCCCTTAGGTGAACAAGTTGATCACCTGACCTATTCTACATCATCAGATACGTACGTCCTGGGAACCAGCTACAAGGCTGATTTCAGACTTCCAGAAGATGATGAGTTGCATCCCGAGTGGCGTAACGAAGGTAGGTCGGGCAAGTCCCTGTCTGTTAGGCACACGATCTGATAGTACTTTTAAGTGATTCCTTTCCCTCCGCAGATTTACCAAAGCTCGGTGAGACTCCTGAGCCCGAAGAACTGGTCTGTCATAGACAGGTATGGTACCGCCGGTCAAGAGCCGAGAGTATTTAGACTAACGCTTCCTTTGTACCAGTTATCCACTTAGTGCAGCAGAACGTGTTATGGCTGTCGAGAATATCAATCTCGAGATTTCCGAACAGACGCGTGAGCGCAAAGATGTGATCGTTGTCGGAACCACATTTGCCCAAGGCGAGGATGTAGCAGCTCGTGGATGTGTCTATGTGTTCGACGTGATAGAAGTTGTTCCAGATCCCGAGAGGCCCGAGACAAATCTCAAACTAAAGCTTATAGGCAAAGAGTCGGTCAAAGGTGCTGTGACTGCAATATCAGGAATTGGGGGTCAGGGTTTCTTGATCGTGGCTCAGGGACAGAAATGTATGGTGCGAGGACTGAAAAACGATGGCAGCCTTTTGCCTGTTGCGTTCATTGATGTGCAATGCTATGTCAGCGTTCTCAAGGAGCTCCGAGGCACCGGCATGTGTATCATTGGTGATGCCCTGAAAGGTCTATGGTTCACAGGATATTCGGTATGAACTCCTATTGTTTGATTGGCCTATGTATTTAAAAACAAGGCGACGCTAACAAATTGGCACTGCAGGAGGAACCATACAAGATGACGCTGTTTGGCAAAGACATGGACGAATTGGAAGTGGTTGCTGCTGATTTCCTGCCTGATGGCAAGAAATTATACATCATCGTTTGCGACGGCGACTGCAATCTCCATGTGCTTCAATACGATCCGGAAGGTAAGTGTCACGTCCCAGTTTTACGTTTTAAGGAGCGAGATGTTTATCCTTTGCTTCGTGCCAGATCCCAAATCCTCCAACGGGGATCGACTCTTGAACCGCAGCACATTCCATATGGGTCATTTCGCCTCGACCGTGACGCTCTTGCCACGGACGGCCGTCTCTTCTGAACTAGCGATGTCCGACTCCGATGAAATGAGCATCGATGCTTATGTACCCCTCCATCAAGTTTTAATCACGACTCAAACGGGCTCGGTGGGACTGGTTACATCGGTGTCCGAAGAGTCTTATCGTCGTCTATCTGCTCTGCAGTCTCAGTTAAGCAACACGCTTGAGCATCCCTGCGGACTAAACCCGCGGGCATACAGGGCGGTTGAAAGTGATGGCATTGGTGGTCGAGGTATGATTGATGGGACACTTCTGTACCGGTGGCTGGACTTGAGTCGGCAACGAAAGACCGAGATTGCCAGTCGCGTGGGTGCAGATGAATGGGAGATCAGGGCAGATCTCGAAGCGATTGGGGGCAGCGGACTTGGTTATCTATAGAGTGGTGTTCTGGAGTTCATCATTGAACGATGTGGAAGACCGGGTGATTATGGCAAATGTCTCACTTAGAATACGACAAGAGGCGCGGAAAAAAATTGGACATTTACTATTCGGGATTTTAAACTAACCGAATAAACCCTCCGTAAAATACTGTCTAACTGAGTCGTAAATTGACTGTATTATTCATATATGAGTTAGATTTATACGACATCAAGGAGTTCCGCTCCAGGCGGAATACCAATACTCAATAGGACAGGCAGGCGAGGTTATCCATTCAAGGTGGAAACACGGTATGGCTGGAAAGATCATTTCTCTTTTGAAACCAATTCCTTGGCTCTCCTTTCCAGTGCCCTGATTTCCTCTGGTGAACTCCAGTCAGCGCCCTTTTTGTATGCACATCGGTCTTGAACACACACGCAAGGTCAAGCAACGGCGATCAGGAACTTACCATTCTTTTGAAGCTTTAGCTCGCTGGTTTCGAGCTTTAACCAAGCCCAGTAGAGGACCTGGTAGGTAAAGAGCGCGCCTAGAAAGACTTTGGCAAAGGGACGCCCAAATGGCCGGAAAGCTGCGATCTATATATGCAATTATTTAGAGCCCATGCTTCTACGGAAGAAAACATGAACCAGGAACAGAAGGGAGATAATGACTGACCCCATTCCTGAAGGAATTGGAATTTTCCGAGGCCTGGCGACGGGCAGATGAGGAAGCAAACGTTCTTCGCAGGAATGAGAAACGGGTTGCATCGCCATACAGATGCCTATGGGAGGATGATAACAGGCCCGAGCGGCCCAGTGGAGAACGGAATGCCCTTTCAAATCTCATTCTGCTGGGAACCAAGGAGCTCTATAGAAGTTCGTCTGCCTAACTGCTAAAATACATCTAGTTGGACCATTGCTCCGGAGTACTCGTCCAAACAACCGGGACTCCGCTGAGTCATCAGTCACGTGAGGATCAACCTGGGGATTGTTCATGGAGCGCGCTTCTGTGGAGTCGAACAGGCGCGATGGCAAGATGCGGGGAGAAGCCAAACGACGATAAAGTTCCCAGTGCCGCCATGATGCCTCTGGCTTCGATCATCAACATATCGTCCAGGAGTTTCAATCACGGTTTCCCAGCATAATTCCATGGACACCAAGCCGGATCTTTCGGCGATGGGTCGGGACAGCAGTCATTGACTCGCTCATATGCGAATTGGCGCCTCCGTGAGCTCTATGACGGCGCATCCCATT